CCGAATCCGCCGAGCCGTGGCGTGCATGGAGGAAGGGTCACTGTCCACAATCTCTGCGGCCACACCTGCAGCCGAGCCGAAGTCTGGCAAGGCAGCATCAGGGTCCCCATTCAATGGCCGGCAACTCACGACACATTGGTGCGACGCTTAACAATGAAGCCAGCCTGCCTGTCTCATGACACAATGGCTTGCTCGCAAAGCTAAGGCCCGAACATTTCCGCATTTCCGACACGTCAGCAGGAGGGTCTTTGATAAGCCAGAATAATCGGTATGGCATCCTTGGCCAGGCGTAGCCCGATGTGACTGGAATTGGCTCAATTTGTTCAAGGCAAGCAGTGACTCCATCTTTTAGTCTACTATAGTAACTTTTCGGAAGAAGGCAAAAGCACAGCCTGCACACCCAAATGCAAATTCATGAGCGAGTCTCGCTGTGACATACTCGTAGATTCTTCGCTCATACGCAGCAGCATTGCGCAAAGCTATCTTGAGAGCTGCGCCTGTCAGCGCTGACTGCGCCTCTGGGGTCAAGGAAGCGTCAGCGCCAGATTCTCTCAAGCACGCTGAAACCCAGGTCAGGTCGCTCGCCAATGACTGCAATTGCTGCAAGAACTCAAAAGCCTTTCCTGTGACAAAGGTAAGTATAGCTTGCTCTTGCGGCTTCTGCAGCCATGCGTAGCAATGAATCAATGGCTCTTTGCACACAAAGCTAGCCAGCACCATGAACCAAAAGACCGCATCCTTGACCACTTGGTTTGCTGATGTCATGTATCGGCCCATCCGGACCTGGAAGTCACGATACTCATCAAGCGCAACCTCATCTACAGGGTGTCCTGAGGCTGGCTGGTCGCAACTTTGCCTGCGCTTTGCCAGCGCGCAAGCCCGTGGAAATTTGGCCTGGACTTCAGCAGGTCCAATGGCGAGGAGAAAAGCCTCGAGTTCGTGAACACATCCCCACCTTGAGGCGCATGGCGCAGGGGGAAGCCTCATTGATGCAAAATGCTCAGGCGGAAATTCTGACATGATGGCTGAAGGTATGCTTCTCCAGGAGTGGATCAACTTTGCGAGAGATGAGTAGTACTTGAAGTCATGCCCAAGGCCAAGCAAGCAATGATCGATGAGCCCCAAATGAGAGCCCACAATCAAATTGAACTGATGGACCAAGCATGAAATGTCCCAGTACCAAATGTGGCAGAAAGGGTCCTCACTCCCGCCCGACTCCATGGGCCCATAAATGTGCGACAGCAGTCGAAGCCGTTGGGCTTTCTGGTCAGGCCCAGCGTCCTCTGTAACGCAGAGCACAAAGATGGAGTTTGGCCTGATATCATCTTGCCTGTGGCGCGGCCAGACACAAGTAGCTCTCTCGCGATGCCATCACTCGTCACGAACTCAACGCCCAATAACAAGAAACATTAATCTTTGCGCTCCCTTTCAACAGTCAAGAGATTTGGTGGGACAAGCTGCTGATTGAATGCTGGGAAGCCTTAAGTCTTGACGGCGCCACGCTGACGTGCACACTTGCTATTGACATGGTTGCGCGTTGCAATTGCTAGCGGCACTGCACGTATATTTACACTACCACTGGCCCTTACAGGCTGCATGTGGTTTGGGTCTGGGCTTGGGCTCAAAGATTGGGCTGAATTTCCCATCATCACCGCATGCCCCACAGTTCACACCAACTCCGCGCAAACTCAGTGCACTTCACACCAACACCGCTGCCCAAGCCAACACAGGCCTCGTGAGAGCCGCCACATCATCCCAAGTAGGCATTCCCAGCGAATGGATTTGTTTGACGATCAGAGACAAGCTGGCCAGCGCAGAGCCACCCTTCACTGGCAGCACATCGGACCTTAGCTGGCCGAAAGAAAGCCTGGCGTCGACAGTGCGCGACAGCATGCGAACGAACCCACAAGCTCAAAGAAGCTTTGAGGTAATGTAAAGCTAAGACGAAAGGCAAGGCGCATGAACCGATGGCAAAAGAACGCTTCGTTGTATCGCCCTTCTGCCAGAGCTTGCTTGTTGATCAGAAGCCCAAGTTCAATCACTGCTGAGGTAAGCTTCTTGCGCTGCCAGATCTCGCTGTTTGTAGCATCGTTCTGTAAAGACAGGCCAACAACTGAGATCTCCGTCTCACGACGGCCTTGAGGCAGCAACTCCGAAGCAATTGTAGGGGGCAGGCCGCACAAAGACACGAACGCTTCCAAGGGCTGCTGCAACTCACGCAGTGGTGTGCCCTTCATGTCTGACTCATGGCCCGTCTTGAAGGTCTTCAATATGGACAAAGTGTTGATCAAACTGGTAGGCAACTCAGTTGGGGCAAATACTGACGGTGACTTCCTCAAAATCTGAAGAGCAATGTGGCCAATGATAGCCGCTTTCACGGAATGAGCTGCTGCCAGCGTCACCTCGCACCGGCTGACTGTTTGCCTTGAAATGTCTGCCCAAGCAGCCGCTGGAAAACCCAGCGCGGAACAGGAGCTGAGAGCCATGCGGAGCCCTACAGCAATGCACCCAGGCCCGGTCAGATTTCTATCCGACTTAGTTTTCTCAATGCTGAGCGAGTTTAAGGCTTCTTTCTGCTGCCTTTGTGCTTTCTTGCTCAGAGACTTAGCGGTTTTTGACCCAGACATGGCTTTGAACTGCACCAGCTGCTTTTTCAACCGGTTGATGCACTTCTGTTTCCCCTTGCAAGCTTTGCGCAGTTTGCCAACTGTAAACTCCGCTTGCTCTAGCCTTTGCTTCAAAGCAAGAATGTCCTCCTCCCCTTCATCGCTGAAGGGCGGTGCCCCCGCATCATTAGCGACGGGGGCTTCAGCTTCTGAAAGCAAATGAACTCTGCCTGGCGGCTGCAAGGCCACAGGACCTGCTTGCACATTGCTGCGATGGTTTGCGACCGGCCCCCGCATCTCAATGCGCGCCATCGCCTTTTTCGAGGCGCGCTCTGACAAGAGCTGGCCCCATGTGTCTGGATCTAAATCAACACCGGTTGCCCTGCACATCTGTGGGACAAGCTGCAAAGGAAACATATCAACAAGGACGCCCTTCACCTCCAAACGCAATGCCTCGGCTGCAGCTACTTGTGTATTTTGCTCGCAGGAAGAAGCAAAGTCTCAAGTCCAAGTTTGCTGAAGCCTGTTTTACGCCAAACGTGAAGAAAGGACCATGAAACATCATGAAGCCTACAGAAGCAAACGTGATTTTGCTTGGCACGCTGCGTGTGCCTGAAACCCGCTGATCACTGCAGATGCCCTCCTTCTGGCAGAAGAGCTGTCTGACCTTCTGGTCGCCATCAAAAACTGCTCCAACCTTGCAACAACCGGCGGCTTTTCAATGACATCACTGCGCGGCTAGGATACCTTCAAAGCTGTTTGTGGATTAGAAGGTAAAACGCAAACTGCATTGCCAATAAATCGCTCCAGAGAACGCAGGCTGTGCCGCAATGAGGCCATCCGGCGACAGGATGCTCAGGTGCAAGAGCATCCCGGCCATGGCCTTCCATTCCATGTCCGCCCACAGCGATCCAAGTGAGCCACTCAAGGCGGCATAATCACCGTCCTGTTCCTGAACGGTCTGCTGGGTGATATTCCCTCCTGACCTCTGGGCTCTTGCAAAAAAGCAAGCATCATTGGAGCAAAGCAAAGGGTTTTACAATTTTGGGATCGCTCAACTTCAGCTTTGACACAAATGTGCAATATCATCATTGGGTCTGGGCCAAAATGAAGTTAGTCATTGCCTGCTGTGTCACAAGTCAAACTTATGCCAAACCAGACAAACACAACCCCTGCAAGCCTCCGAGAGCATTTGCAACTGTTCAGTTTGCAGCTCTGCCACATATCTGAATTCAAAAAAGAACACATTCCATGATCTGCTTTTCGCAAAAAAACGCAACCCCTGCAAGCCTCCGGGAGCATTTGCAACTTGTCAGTTTGCAGCTCTGCCACATACGTGCATTCAAACAAGAACGCATTCCATGTTCTGTTTTTTTTCGAGAAACACACACATTTCATGTCCTGCTTTTGAAAAAACGCACATGCCATGTTCTGCTTCTCGAAAAAACAAACAATGCAATTCTGAACTCCTCCTATTGAAGACCATCCTACAACTCCCTCTGAAGGCGCTCACCCAAAGGAACTGGGGCACCCGAAGCATGAACCGCCCAGCAATCCAGGACCCACAATTTTGGGCACTTTGGACGTACATACTCTGTGTCTCTGTGTCTCTAAGCGTCTCTGTCTTTCTCTGTGTCTCTCTGTGTCTCTGTGTCTCTAAGCGTCTCTGTCTCTCTCTGTGTCTCTCTGTGTCTCTGTGTCTCTAAGCGTCTCTGTCTCTCTCTGTGTCTCTCTGTCTCTCTGTGTCTCTAAGCGTCTCTGTCTCTCTCTGTGTCTCTCTGTGTCTCTCTGTGTCTCTGTGTCTGTGTATCTGTTGTCCTGTGTCTGTGTCCGCTCTTTGGGCTTCGATGAGCAATAGGCAAAAGTATGTGACTTTGTGGGTGCCCCTTTCATAGGACATGGAGGGCCCAAAATGCGCCTTGGACGGGTTCATTCCGACGAAAGGTTCCGTATCTCCATAGCCCAGGCTCACTTTAGAGCTCACTTTGGGGAGAAAGTTGCCCTCCCGCAAGCTCCCCTAGTCTGACTCAATGACTTTTAAGCTCGGACTGACTAAGAGGGCGCTTGAAGGGGAGCAAGGCATGCCAATACACTGATGCGACGAGTCATGCTGGAGAAATCTTTGACCAAACCATTGCACAGTTGAAAAGCAAAGCCCTTCTAGTCCTGGTGAAGGCCTATATAAGTGTCCCCTGGGCAGCCAAAAGCTCATGCGTCATAGATCAGTTTGCTCAGCCCAACCAACCACGCAGCAGCATCAATGCAGGCCCAGTCTTGCTGGCTCCGGAAATCATACACCGGGTGTACTTATAGTGGGTTCAACTCCCAGAACAAAGGACTCGCATCCCCCGCAATCCCAGGTCAACCAGGGATTCCTTCGGGTCACCGACCGGCCTTGAAGAGCTTCGCGCCGCCGCCATCCTTCAGCTCCACCTGCAACCATCTCCCCAGGTGGGCGTTTGGATTCCAGGCTGATCAGCTTCAAGTTCAGGTGTTGCCACACGCATTGCTTTCTGTGTTTCCTTCACTTGCAAACCAAAGCAAGACCCCACGAAAAAAGGGCCCCTTTTGGCCAGGTTGAAGTCATACGCGCCATCGCCATCGGTGCCTTCCAGCGGCTCTTCTCCTCATCCCTGGTGGTGAGGACCCCCTCGAGGCCGTTCAGCTCTGGCCGCGCCTAGACTTCCCCCGCATGGGTAGGCCCTCTTTCGTTTTGATGTGGGAGCTCAAAGACGCGCCACGGGACTAAGAACCAGCGAAGCCAACTTGAAAATGACTACTGACCATTGTTCTCGGTAGGGACGGGAATGACCGCAGTTCAACCATGGGTCTGAATGAGCGTGGTTGGTGAGGTTTGTCAACCATGCTTGTTGACAACAACCAGATTGCGCGAAACTTGCAGTCAAATACGCACAGCGGCTGGAGACAACAAGCAAATGAAGCGCCACCTTGCACCGGTGCTCCAAGGACCATCCAAGTTCTGCTTGGAAAAAAGGCAGGCTCCGCGCAACTTTGCTGAACCCGCAACAAAATGAGAACAACTATTTCGCCCAACGAGTGGGGGACTGGTGGTTTTAAACATCACTTGTGTGGCCCGCTTAAGGAAAGGTTCCCTTGGAAGGGGTGATGTTTCAGGGGATATATTGGCGATCCTCCTGTGTGCAATCTTGAGAGGGGAAAATGCCTGAGATGAGCTGCATGGTTCCTTTTGTTTCATTCCCACTTTCTGGCCCAACCGCCACAAAATACCAGCACTGAACCTGGCAGCACCGATGCTCATTCGACTTCTTGCCCCTCCTTGTCATTGGCACAACTCACCAACGAAAAAAAAATGAAACCAAACACTCCGGAATAAAACATGCCATCCCTTGCAGGCCAACCGGTTGCCCTCTTGAGCCTTGGGGTCTCTCCTCCCCCCGTTCGAGCCCCGAACCTGCAAGCCCTTGACGCGGACCCACATGCCCACCCGCAGCTCCTGCGCAAGAGGACAAGTACCCCGCCGAAAGTATGGGTACTTTTGGCAACATGAAAAACGCCCCCTCGGGCTCCATTTGAGTGTTCCCCGCAACAAAAAAAGAAAGAAAGAAAAAATATTGCCTTGGGTGCGAACAAAAAACCCGACACCCCTGCCTGTTGCAAGCCAATTGGGTGGGCCCTGATGCGTCCTTCCCAAATCAGCGTAAACAAACAACAATGTTGACAGTCGCTCAGCCAACTCTGGCGCTGGCATGGACTCAAGCTGCTTGCCACCAGAGCCGCGTCAGGTCTGTTTGCTCCAGAAAGCCGCAATTTTTGCGGGGTGTCTGCGGGTAGGATTCAAAGATCAAGGGAGTCGCAGGGCATGTTGAGCACAAGATTGTGTTTGGTCTTCAAGCTTGCGGCAGGGCCCGTTCTCATTTGGTCTCCCTGTTTGCCTCCTTTTGGTGACCTTCGTACTTTTTTCAGAATGTTGTTATGTCAATGTCAGCATTGTGTTGTGCTCACTAGGTATTCCGAGGGTTGTTTGCTCAGTGCTTGCCATTGGCAAGGAAGGATTTCCTGTGGTTGATTTGCTGCGAGTCCGCAGATCAGCCATATCATTTACCTAACCACCTCTGTGCTCTTTTGATGGCCCCCCAAAAAAAGAGCAGCGACGCGACCACAACAATGGAGAGCTTGGTCATGGTTAAACTGCATGCACGCCATCAGTAAAACGGCCATTTGAGACTCACTGGCTACAAATAAGGAGAAAATAATGTCAAGCTATGAAAGAAGATTTTGTCAGGACTATGTCTTTCAAATGTGACTGCTCATCATAGTTCTTACAAGCCGTTGTCGGCTATTTTGGTCATGTTGGCGTCCTAACTGCAGAAGGCGGAAGTAAAGATATGCCTCTGCTGTCTTGAGATCCACTCATGGAATGACCTCTCAAAGGCAGATCGGGACGAGTCCCACTCCCCGGCGCCTGGGCCTCGCCATTCCTGTCGAACACATCCGGCCAATGGCAAAACGGGACACCTCGACATTACCATGAAGATGACCCTTCTTTTGGTTTGAAGAGAATCCAAAGAAACCACCCCTTGGAGCCTGACTGAAGGTCACTCCGTTTTCCCTCGAGAGAGCCAAACACCAGAAGACGAGAACACTCGTTTGGCAGACTCCGTTGTTTCGGCCATGATCCACTGTTCTCGATTGAAGGAGCATAGAGGGGACGGCACACATGCGGTTGACTACAGCCAAGGGAGTCTCGAAAGATTGAAGAATTGAATAGGCTATTGAAAAGACTCGCACCATTTGAAGCATGAGGCCATGAGGCACCGAATTCGGCCAATGACGACTCTTGGAACCAGTTTCAAAAGCGAAACGTGTTTTCTGATTGGTCTCCACACCGACTTCACTCGACAGGAACTGCAATGCACCTGTTTCTTTTGACATAACACTCGAGTTAGGGCTCAGCGGCTTTCGTCAGCAAAGCCTGCACACATAGCCAACTAATGAACTGTTTTTTTGAATGCAAAGAAACGTGGCCCAGCTCAGCCTGCTCTGCTTGGCACGGCTGACGGCGAAGAACACAAAGACCATAAATCCTGTGTGAAAGGAACCCACCAGCCCATACTATATAAAACCATAAACGTGTGCCTCGCCGTTTCAGTACATGTTCCCGTGTTCATATTGAACATGCACACATTGCACGCGCAAAAATTTGAGACGGGGCGGCGTAACATGTGGGAATGTTCTATTTCAACATTTGGGGTTCCCGAGTTCAGAGCCATCAGCCCTGACACTACATTTGACCTTGGAAATGCAAAAAACCGCATGTCTGAGCTCTGAGCGCCACGCTTGGATCCCACGACTTCTTTCGCTTTCTTCTGAAAGTCCGAAAACGCCTTGGCAAGAGACTTTCGAAGCGCACATTTTGGCGTGCAACAAACGTTTCTCGCAAAACACGTAAGAAACATGGCAAACCGTTATTGGCAAACCTGCTGCGAAGACACACCGACGCAGGCCAACAACATAAGCTGGCTCCACAATTCCTCCCGCACGTGGAACAGAATCAACATATGCAGTTTACAACCTTGCGTCACTGTGTCATGACCCTGCATGCACGCAATGCTCCACTTTGTGTGGTCCACACTTATGCCAGCGGGAAAGCTGGTCCAGAATTAAGTCAAAACACAATTTGCAAACAAAAAGTGCCTGAATTGTTTTTCTTAGAACTCTCCCATGTAAGCTCCCGACTTTAAAGGAAGGCATGGCTCGCTAAACTGCCATCACAAAACGCCGCTGCTTTGGATTCCTCCGCTTGGTTGGTGGCCGGGGCTGTCAAGGCCAATAGCTTTGTCGAGTCACACGTCAAGCGTACCCATCGTTTCGGTAACAAAGCATGGTGAAAGTTGTGTTGAGGCTTGTGCCCAAAAGTTTTTGCTGATCGCTAAGTAAGGTGCTTTTCAGCCATGCACTGGCCTGTCTGCGTGCTCCAGGCGTCTCGCGACCGAGGTCGACAAGACCACCGATGTTGGAGCTGTGGACGTAAGTATGAGGTCAAGGACACAGCGGCGGACAACTCTTACCGTCAATGTCAAATCTACTTTCTTGTTTAATTTGAACTAGTATTCATTCCCTCTTTCCTTCGTTCCTTCAGCAGCGCTCATCCTCTTCAGTGATATTCATCCCGTTTGGAGACGTTCATTCACTTCACTTTCCCCTGGTTGCTGGTTGTTTGCGGATTTATTTGAAATTAGTTCGCACAGGTTTCATGGCACCCATACCTACGAAATGTCATGGTATTTCTTCCTAAGTCCCATGGCTCCAACAGCTGCTAATTTTCATGGTTTTCATTGGAATTTCATGTGCCTCATCCCACCCATAGCCACTAAACTTCATGAAAACCAAGCTAGTCCACAAGCCTATTTAAACGGAAATCCAGAACACATTCTAAGAGGAAACAAAAGGAACCCAAATTACTTCTTCGAGTGATCCCCACTCTGACATATCAGACTGCCACAGCTTCTGGCAGTCCATCTTGCATACGTTCGGACCTTCTGTCTGGCATTCAATTTGGCATCTGTTCTGACATTTTGTGGCATATTTTTGCCACATTCTATAGCAAAGGTTGTGACACTGTTTCTGGCGTTTTTGCCGACATTGTTTTCGGAGAAGGCCGCAATGACGCCGCCCTGGCGGAACGTCGGCCATCGCAGCTGCCGATGTTGGAAGTCCCAGAGATGCCACTGTGGTCCAGTGAATTCTGAGCAAAAACATCTGACATCATCTAACATTTCCAAGAAATTGTGAGTTTTTTTCCGGAAAAACACCGTGTTGTTCCTAACAAATCAAGTTTGTTCACCTGGATTCAAGCACTTGATGGCAGTCAAATGTATGTTTGCGTATCACTCACAACACAGCGCGACTCTGCATGTTTTTTCCTGCCTTCCAATGCCTTCTAGCAGCTCTACAAATGGGCATGTCTCACGGTGTGATTTTTCATGACGTCACTGACATATTCGAAGGTTCAATTGTGGAGAAGCGACGTCATGTTGCGCAGAATCCTGCGGACCACGTCCAACTTCGAGATCTCCTTTGGAAACTTCTCCTGCGCGACTGCCAGTGTAACGATGGAAAAATCTGCCAAGAGAACACGCAAGTGGGAATCCACCCAAATGACTGACAAATTCTCAGTGTCACCAAGTTCTAGTTGGAATATCATATCATGCGTTAGAGCCACTTCAGAGGCACCCCCTCCAAGAATGCAATTCCTTTACTATGCGTGATCCACGCCGCAATGCACACCATCATGTTTTTTCTGTTCACACATTTGTTTTGACATCGCTAACGAAAACTCCTCTGACATGAATGTTCTTGGACATGCAATGAGAAACCTTGTCACTCTCGCATTTGTTTTGACGTTCATTCTGACATGTCTTCTGACAGAGATCGGGGCATATGACATACTTGCTGACCATGCAATGACAAAAAGAAAGTATTCTGACCTATTAATTCATGTTGTTTCTGTATAAATTTAAGTAGAGCGCGGGTAGTCATGGGGGGGTGAGGTTTTGAAAATTGTGATTCTTTGGTATGTTTTGTATGCGCTGCTTAATTCATGTTGTTTTCCTCTTCTTTTTTAACAAAATGGTTTGCATATGTTCCTCTTACAGCAAACTATTTCATGAAATATGTGCTGTGATTTATACATTGTTCTTTATAAGGAAACACATCATGCGTACATAAGTACAAGCTTTCTCAAAACATATCTACTCTTTCAACAATGTACTTCTTAACCAAACTCCTATCCAAAACGCCCCTCCTCTGAGAGAAATGCGTATGTATTGCAAATGCACCTTTTTGTTTGAAACCAAGTATGTATGAATTGCTAACAACATGTTCTTTGGAAAATGCAGCCTCGCCTTCCAATAAAAACACCTTCTTTGAAAGAAATGATGGGCTTTGAACTTTGAACTATGTACAATTTCTTGAAAAATAGTTTGTGTTGAAATAGGTGCGCTGTTTTATCAAAGAAGAACTTTTCCCTTGGAGTGTAGCATGTCTTTTAAAGAAGCGCTTGTCATTCCATTGAGAAGACAACCATTGTTTGCAAAAAGAATCATGGAAAAAAACATGTTTGTGAAACAGAAACTTCTTGTTTGAGGGAAACGTTGTGACTTTGAGGAAGAAGCGCGCGCTCTGTAGTAGAAACATATTCTTTTCCAAATGTACTCCAGTGATTGAAATGATTTCTATCTGAGAAGGCAACCAAGTCTTTCCACGTGAGCAAAATTTCGGATCAACAGGAGCCTGTTCATTTGTTCGATGCGCTATTCCTTTTGTAGAGCTCAATTTACAAACACATATTCATTGTTGAAGTGTACAAGTACTTCACAATATTTCCTTGAAGACATGCACCTTGGATTCCTCTAGTAAGAAATTGCAACTCGAAACAAGCACAATTTCTTCAAGAAATACTTCCTTCCTTTAAGAAGCATGCGCCATAAATACATGTACATACAAGTACATGCGTATCTATATATATATAAACATTATCTACTTAAAACGCAGTAATTACTCATTGAAGTCTGCACTGTGTCTTATCCAAAACAAACATCTGGAGAGAAACGTTGCGGTTTTCACAAGAATAGTGATTGGTTGAACTGTGCATGTTTTAACTAACAAAGGGGTATTAGTTTTAACAGAAAGAGAAAGTGAGAGAGACATCCAACGCTTGTGTGTCATCCTGTTGCCTCAGAACCTGGGATTCGGGACTCGGGACTTGGGACTCGGGACTCGGGATTCGGGACTCGGGACTCGGGACTCGGGACTCGGGACTCGGGACTCGGGACTCGGGACTCGGGACTCGGGACTCGGGACTCGGGACTCGGGACTCGGGACTCGGGACTCGGGACTCGGGACTCGGGATTCGGGACTCGGGACTGGACTCGGGACTCGGGACTCGGGACTCGACTGGACTCGGGACTTGGGACTCGGGACTGGACTCGGGACTCGGTACTCGGGACTCGGGACTTGGGACTTGGGACTCAGGACTCGAGACTGGACTCGGGACTCGGGACTCGGGACTCAGGACTCAGGGGAGACTGGACTCGGGACTCGGGACTTGGGACTCGGGACTCGGGACTCGGGATTCGGGACTCGGGACTCAGGACTCGAGACTGGACTCGGGACTCGGGGCTCGGGACTCGGGACTCAGGACTCAGGACTCGAGACTGGAATTGGGACTCGGGACTCGCGACTTGGGAATCGGGATTCGGGTATGTGTTTTTTTGACGTGGCCGTGCCGGGAGGTTGGTATAAGGGGTATGAATCGCAGGTATGGGTCGGGGTATGGCTCGGGGGTATGATTCGGGGTATGGCTCGCGCGCCTCTGAACTCTTGCATTGCCACTTCAAAGCTCCCGTGCGCTGGCAACTGGATAGCCGTGAGAATTTGGACCGCTTAGTTGCGCTTGTGAGTGGCCTGAACTAGACAGCTGCCACTCTGCGTGAGTAGTGAAAGCTGCTGCGCTAGGTGGAAGGCGCAGAGCCACTGCCTGAGGCGAACGTCATTGCCACCTCCACTTGGAGTTCAAGCGACCCGCGTGCTCACAGACCCAAGCAAGCGTTGCTTGAGGGGAAGCGCCGCTGCCCAGTCAGGCCCGCCACCCGCACCAGCCACAAACGGCAGCTGCGCACAGGTGGTGTCCCGTGTCGCGCTTGATACATCGCAGTAAGCCTTCCGAACCCACCTTCTGCCGAACTTCTGCGAAAAGAGCCGCGAGCTGGTTCCTGCAGTGCTTCTCTTTGAGTTTTGTGTCTTCTGAGGATTTGGGCGGCATAGCTTCGCTAGTACTGCCCAGAGCGCAAGAGGCTCTTGGCTGCAAATGGCAGCAGAAGGGTATGAATCGGGGTATGAATCGGGTATGAATCGGGGGTATGAATCGGGGGACAGATGTTTTTTCGACCGGAAAGACACCAAGAGCTCCCCAGGAGCACAAAGACAGCTTGTGTTTCACTGCGACAGCGGCCCAGGACAGACAGCTGTTTCCACCGCGCCGGACAGACTGCAGGAAGCAAGCTCCAAGTTTCAAGCTCAGCAGCTGCACCCCCCCGCCACAGCACCACGGATGCTACAGACAACTCCAGGACATCCGCAGGATTGCTCTATAACTCCATCCATGGGCGAAGCCACCGAGGTGGGTAACCGAGTGTCAAGGAACACCACTTGAGCCAAAATGGCCCCCCACGAGCAACCAGTGAGTGTGTGTGAGTGGACATGTCAACTGTACTTGGCCCCATGACATCAGAGCCGCCTTCTCCGCCCGCCTCCACTGCCTCCGGCGGGATCACCTCCCAGGCATCAAAGGCCTGTAGGGCATGGGCAATGACAAGGACTTTGTGCTTGGTGCGCAAGGAAAGGGCGTACGCAACAGGGCCAGCCACAGGCGAAAACAGCAGGGATGCAGAAGTCGAACCCCTGCCTGTTCTGCCGTTGTTTGCCTCTGGAGCACCGTCCGTGAAAAGTGGAGTGGCTCAACCGCCTGGGCCATGACCTCATGACGTGCGCGTAGCAAAGAACTCCGGTGGCTGTCAGCCAAGTTCGCTCCTCAAACCCAGGTCCGCTGTAAGCAGCTAGACGCGCCATGCTTTGAATCACACCCACCAGGCCTGCCGGCGACGGGCTTGTCGGGCTGCTGACGGGGCCGGCCGTTTTCGGCGGTGTGATTGGGCTCACAGCGTGTGACACCACCGGCGCAACAGCTTGGATTTTCATCTGGGCCGATGGCCGTGGAGCAGGCGCCGGGGGTGGTGGCTGCCGTGGTGGCTGTGGCTGCAGTGGTGTTGGTGGCAGTGGCGGCTGTGGCAGTGGTGGTTGTTGTGTCTGCAGTTGCGGTGGCTGTGGTGGAAAGGATGGTAGTGGGGCAGGGGGGGGGTGGCGCTGGTGCTGGCGCCGTTGCTGCCGTTGCTGCCGCTGGCGGCCGAGCCCGCTCTGCATGCATGGCAGAATTCGCACTGCCACCGGCTTTGGCGCATTGTACTGCTGCGCCCTCGCCAGCATCCTTGGTAGCGGCGCAAGTTCGTGCACGTGTGTGTACAGTTAGTTCATTTCAAGGCGCATGCTTATACAAGTCAAGGCGAGGCGCTGAATCAGCTGTGTACAAGCGGCTCTCCATGACGCACACCAGGTACCAAGTTGTCAAATGCAAGTACACCTCTTGAACAGTGTGCAACACAGATGCAGGCTGCGTAGTGGCGTAGTGGAATGCTCCTTGTGCAGTGCCGATGCAGCTTTGTACATCATACCCACCTCGGTTGTATCACATGTGCATGTGTGTGTGTCCTTTCATGCATCCCCCATCGGAGGTTCCTTGTTTTTGCAAGAGCCAAAATGGAGCCGCCAGAAAAAATATTGTTCATGCTGCATGCGAAACCTGCAAACCCTCCTCCTTTGGACATGTACAAGCGCATGCGCTGTGTGGAACTCGTTTTCCGCTATGGTTCAAATCCAACCACGGTGTATTTGTGAGTGGCAGTTCTAGCTCGACAAACTGGCAAGCTCAATTCAATCACAATGCGCATGCTACACAAAAGGGCGCCAGTTTGGAGTCAGTCACATGACACTTGCCGGCAAGGACGACATCACACACCACAGGTCAAAGTCCACAAAGCCCAACACACGCGACATGTGCATGGCACAAGCAGCACAAGTACATGTAAGTCAGTATACAAGCATCAACTGCAGCTGGTTCATCGCACAAGCTGCTGATTCAAGGATGCCACAGTTTGAATACTTATATACAGCACATGCTATCAGTCTACATCCTCCAGCTTCTCAGTATCCAACTCCGCTGCCGCCTCCCTGGAAGCAATGCGGCCCAACTCCGCGGCCTCATCCTTGGTCTTGCCCTGCTTCAGGGCGAAAGACTTGGCCTTGTGGTACGCGGCGCTTGTGACGCGGTGGCGGAGGGAGCACTTCTGCAAGTTTACCGCGCCGGCCTTGGGCTTGGCAGCCGCTTGGCGCCCGCCTTGGCTTTGGCCTTGGCGCCTGCCTTGGCTTTGGCCTTGGCGGCCGCCTTGGGCTTTGTTGCCGCGGTGGGGGCGCTGGT